CCCCCCCCCCCCCCCCAAATCTAATGGTCCGTGCTTATGTTCTTGATTGGTGGCTGAGTAAAAAACCAATTTCACAACAAGCCGCTGAAATGTCGGAGTTGCCAGGTGGAAAACTGCAGTAATTATTCTCATTCGTGTTACAAGGTTGCAAAAGTTTTTTCAAACCAATAAGATTTTTGTGTCTTGCATGCATTCTCCACATTTCATATCATTTCACTTCTTTTATTGCTTATTTTGAGTCGATATCAGAGTGATCAATACACAGCKGAGCCACCAAATGAGCAGCAAATGAGCAAATCTTCTCGAAAGTCTCGAAATGAAAGCGAAAATTCTTGGAACTAATCTGCATATTTGGTTATAATAATAATTAACATTCTTGGAACTAATTTGCATAATACTTCTTGACAGCGAAGCAGCATTTCGCTTTCTCACCAACGACTTGTTTGACTTTAACGTTTATTTCTATTTGAAGCAAATCTGCTCTGAGTATTTTCATCATGTTATCAAGCTCTTAGGTACTTWAGCTGTATTTTTGCATTGCTCACTTACTGAACGGTCGGTACAAAAAGAAATGCTTCGAWTTTAAAAAGTTAGTCGTTCCTAAAGAATTAAGTTGGGACACAAACCACCGTTGATGAAATTTTTCTTTATCTTTTAATATTAGACAGTTCCAATGTTTATGCTGCAAGCTATATTTGATATACACACAGTGCTTGAAGCCATGGACTAAGGATGGAAAATACGCCTGGTAGGTATATATTCAGTCTCGTTTTAAATTGTAATAACTTTTAAATTACTTAAAGCTTCGAATTCCGCTTTTGAAAGCGGAAATTCAGCTGTCATGCCCCGTTCACGCCAACTCATATAAAGATAGAAGCTGATAGAAGCTGGATATTAAAGAGGGTTTTACAGTAACTCGGCGGAAATGTTTTATGTATGTATATGGGATTGCACGTTTCCAGCAGAATTCGAAATAGATGGCCGTATTTCTCAGTCTCATGAGACTCACTCTTCTTCTCCGTCTGAAATTTCTCAGTCTGCAGTTTTGATTTATTCTCATGAGTTTTCTTGCTGCTTGGTCTGCATTTACAATATTTTAAATGTTCAAGCATTTGCCATGGATTCTAATTTGTCTGAAACGATTGAGAGTGATTTTAATATTTTTATCTGAAAATAATAACAAAAAATAAAGTAGTATTGGATAGTGTTGGATATAATAAAAATTAATAATGATAATAATATTCATTCATTCATTCATTCATTCTTTATCCATCCATCCATTCATCCATTCAATCATTCATTCATTCATTTATTCATCTCATTCATTCATCCATCCATCCATCCATCCATCCATCCATCCATCCATCCATCCATTCATTCATTCATTCATTCATTCTAGTTTATTATTATTTATATTATTTATTTATATTATTATTTATTCATTTATTCGTTTAGTTATTTTTTAATTTTGTTCTCCCAATACTTAACTTTTAACGTTATATATATACATATATATATATATATTTGTTTGAGAAGAAAAAGTCAAGACAACATTTTTCC